GGGGGGGGGGGGGGGACACCCCCGGGACCCCCCCGAGGGAGGGGGACACCCCCAGGGAGGGGTGGGGGGCCCGGCAGCACCAGGGTGCGGCCGAGGGGGGGTCTGGGGGGGACTCACCTATGTTGGGGTGGTTCAGGACCTTCATGATCCGAACTTCCCGGAAGAGCTGCAGGGGACGGGCAGGGGGGACACGTTTGGGGGGGGTCAGAGGTCACAGCCCCCCCCAGGTGGCCCCCCAAAATCAGTTGCCCCCCCCCACCCACCCAGGGACCCCCCGGCCCCTCACCTTCTGCAGGCTGGAGGAGTTGAGCTGCGTCTTGTCGATGATTTTCACGGCGACCTGGGAGGGGGGACGGGGGGGTCAGGGGGGGCCCAGGGCTGTGCCCAGGCTGGGGTGGCACTGGGGAGGGGGACAGGGCTGTCCCCAGGCTGGGGTGGCACTGGGGAGGGCAGGGGGACAGGGCTGTCCCCACAGCACGGTGACACCTGTGGCACGAGGATCAGGAACCGTCCCTGTGCCATGGTGGCACTCCCAGGGCAAGGAGCAGGAGCAGTTCCCAGGCTCTGGTGACATTTGTGGGACAAGGGCCAGGGGCCTGTCCCCAGACCACAGTGACACTCAGGGGACGAGCACTGTCCCCACACCAGGGTGGCACTCACAGGACAAGGACCGAGAGCTCGGGACCATCCCTGTGCCAGGGGGCACTGCCAGGGCGTGCACCACGACCCAGAACTGTCCCCACACTGCAGTGACCCCACGGGACAAGGACCAGGACCCAGAACTGTCCCCACACTGCAGTGACCCCACGGGACAAGCACCACGACCCAAAACTGTCCCCACACTGCAGTGACCCCACGGGACAAGGACCAGGACCCAGAACTGTCCCCACACCACGGTGACAGTCACCACCACAGACCACGGAGCTCACCCCTGGGCCAGGTGGCACTGCCAGGGCAAGGACAGGACCTGGAGGTGTCCCCACACCACAGTGGCACCCACAGGAGGACCACGAGGACTGTCCCCTCGCTGTGGTGGCACAAGGACCAACCCCACACAGGTGTCACCCAGGGGATGAGGACAACAAGCCTGTCCCTGTGGTGACACCCACAGCATGAGGACCACGAACCCATCCCCACACCGTGGTGGCACCCACAGGATGGGGGCTGTCCCCACACCGTGGTGGCACCCACAGGACACAAAGCAGGAGCCCAGACCTGTCCCCACACCGTGGTGGCACCCACAGGACAAGGACTCTCCCCACACTGTGGTGGCACCCACAGGAGGAGAACCAGGACCTGTCCCCACACTGCAGTGGCACTCACAGGACCACAGGCCCGGATCTGTCCCCACACTGCAGTGACAGTCACTGCTGGGCACTGGAAGCCCATCCCTGCCCTGGCACTCCCAGGGCAAGGACCAGGAACCAAAACTGTCCCCACAAACACGGTGACACTCCCAGGACAAGGACTGTCCTCGCAGCGTGGTGGCACCCACAGGACAAGGACTGTGCCCACTCCCCAGTGGCACCCACAGCACAAGGACCATCCCCAGCTCTCAGTGGCACCCACAGCACAAGGATCACAACCCTGTCCCCACCTCAGGGTGGCACCCAGAGCACAGGGACCACCCCCAGCCCTCAGTGGCACGGACTGGCCAATCCCCCCCGGCCCAGGGTGACCCCGAGGCCCCCCCCGGGGTGGCACTCACCTCCTTGCCGGTCAGGACGTGCCGGGCCAGCTTGACCTTGGCGAAGTTGCCCTTGCCGATGGTTTTGAGGAGCCGGTAGTTGCCGATGTGGGGCTGCTCCTCGGCGGCGCTGCCCGAGCCGCGGCCCCGCAGCATGTTGGCCTTGCCGCCCTTCCCCTCCAGGGCGCCGGGCTGCGGGGACACGCGCGGGGACGCTCAGGGGACGCGCTCCGGGGGCCGCCCCCGGGGTTCGGGGGGGGAGGTTCGGGGGGGTCCGGAGCGCCGGGCGCCGCCGGGAGCAAAGTCCGGAGCGAGCGGAGCCCGCCCGGCGCGGCCGCGCCCCGGGAGCCGCCCCCGATACCTGACGCAAGCGGCGGGTTTCGGGCTGGGCCGGGGGTGTGGGGGGGGGAAAGGGGCCGGCGTCCCGTCACCCCCTCCCCGGGACGGGCCACGGCCACGGCCACCCCCCCTCCGCGCTCCCCTCCCGCGGACCGGCCGCTCAAAGGGCAGGATTTCACCCCAAAAGCGGCGACCCGAGCTCACACCCCCCCCACTCTCCCCCCCCAACCCCCCCGCCCCCCCCCCCACCCCCCCCCCCCCCTCCCCGGCCCCCCAAACCCCCCCCCCCGGGACCCCCCCGCGAAGGTCACCCCGGCTTTTTAGGACACTTTTGGGGGGTTCCCCCGCGGGGAGCGAGGGAAACGTCGGCGCCGAGAGGTGTCACCCCCCCGGCCCCCCCCGCGGGCTGTCACCGCTCCGGTGACACCGGAGATAACGGGAGCGCGTGAGGGGCGGGGGAGCCGAGCCAACCCCCCCCCGGTGGGCTCTGGGGCCCCCCCAAAGCCCGGCGGGGTTTATCTTTAGGGGGGGTGCACCTCGGGGTGCCCCTTCCCCCCCCCCGTGGGAAGGAAACCGCCGGCGGAAGCCACAGGGGAGGTGCCGCCGATGGCGCAACCGAACCCCCAGATTTGGGGGGAGAACGGGGGGTTTTGGGGACGGGGCGGGAGGGGGGACACACACACACACACACACACGACCGGATCTTCCCCCTCCCCCCGAAATCCAGCGCGGCGCTGTGGGAAAAGCGAAGGAAAACGGGGGTTTTCTGCCAAAAAACTGCCGTGGCAACAGGGCGGGAGCGCGCGGAGCCATCTGGCCGCGCTGCCGGGGACTCAGCCGGGGCTTCCAGGCGGCACCGGATCCCCCCGAAAGGCCCCAAAAGGCCCCCCCGAGGGGGGTGTCCGCGGCAGCGGCACCGCCAGAGCCCCCCCGAGCCCCCCCCGAGGGTCGGTGGCGGCAGGCGGGCGCGTTCCGGGCATTGCCCGGCACCTCTTATCGGCCCTGGAGTGGCCGGCAAACAACGCGGGGAGGGGGCGGGCCCGGGGTTTGGGGGGCTCGGCGGAACCGGGGGGGTCACCTGGGTCACCTGTACCCGGGGGGCTCAGCGGCACCGGGGGGTCACCTGTACCAGGGGGGCTCACTGGCACCAGGGGGTCACCTGTGTCACCTGTACCAGGGGGGTTCACTGGCACCGGGGGGGTCACCTGTGTCACCTGTACAGGGAGAGTCTCACTGGTACTGGGGGGTATCACCTGTATGGGAGGGTCTCACTGGCACCAGGGGGGTCACCTGTATCACCTGTATGGGGGGGGGGGGGTCTCACTGGCACCAGAGGGGGGTCACCTGTACCACCTGTTTGAGGGGAGGGGGGGTCACCTGTATGGGGAGGGTCTCACTGGCACTGGGGAGGTCACCTGTACCACCTGTTTGGGGGGGGGAGGGTCTCACTGGCACTGGGGGTGTCACCTGTATCACCTGTATGGGGAGGGTCTCACTGGCACTGGGGGGGTCACCTGTACCACCTGTCCGGGAAGGCCTCAGTGCCCTCAGTAACCAAACCCTGTCCATCCCCCCGACCCACAGCCCCCCGTGCCCCCCCCGGGCACTCACCGGGTCCCCCC